AGCCAATCAGGGAAGTATGCAAATTAACCTAACAAAGATGGCAGTTAATTTGCATACGTAGGCTCCAAGTGGTGGAGCGAAGCCTGACAGCCCCGGGGCCAGAGCAGCACCACCGGTCCCGGGGCCGTGAGTCTTCGCTGCGTCGCCGGCCCCGGGGCCATGAGGCTTTGCTGCACCGCCGACCCTGGGGCCATGAGGCTTTGCTGCACCGCCGACCCCAGGGCCGGCTCCAGCTGGAGCCCGGTCAGAGCAAAGGCCTGGGTGCCGGGTGCCGGAGGAAAACCGGTGCCAGTAGCCGGGGAAAGAAAGGGCTATTGCACGAATCTCTTCATGCAACAGGCCGCTAGTATGTAAATACTGTTCATTGTGCTACATGAGTAATTTGGAAGAAAAACATGTTTTATTCACCTCATGAAATACAGTTCCTATAGAATTTTGCTTTTGTATCAGTCATTATTTGCTAAATCTTGTATATTCATTTCAATCAGTTATGTAATACTAATTATAATGGTAGAAATTTCTAATGCTTAGAGTTTTATGATCACAGAAGATAAAACATTTCTATTTATTTTTCTTGGTTGCAAGAAGTATAAGAGAATTTCAAGCATATGACTATGTTTCATTAAGATAAATATATGTGGCCCTCGCCGGTTTGCTCAGTGTTTAGAGCATTGGCCCAGGGACTGAGGGTCTCGGGTTTGATTCTGGGTCAAGAGCACATACATACCTGGGTTGCCAGTTTGATTTTGGCCCTGTGGGAGTGAGGGCAGGAGGCAGCCAATTGATGTATCTCTGTCACATCTGTTTCTCTCTCTCTCTCTCATCCCTTCCTCCCTACCTTCCACTATCTCTAAAAATCAGTGGAGAAAATACCCTCGGGTGAGGATTAATTAACAACAACAACAAAAAAAGATAAATATATATAATGGAAATGCAATGAAAATAAGAGTTCAAGGAGAAAATGAATAATGTAAAATTTCCAACTGTTAAAGAAGGATTGCTTTCTCCATTTTTTAAGTCAATGATTGTATATATGAAGTTCTGGTATTTAGATTCATTAGATTTAATTAAAGAGTGACAGTTTTATTTTAAAATGATAATCTTAAAAAAATAAAATGATAATCTTTAAAACTTCTAATAACAACTTTCTTTGTAACTAAAGTTGTGATGAAAACTCTAAAAGGCAACTTAAAAATGTATGGGAAGTGAGGGTGCATAGTTTTTTTCAGAATTACTTTAGTGGGAACATGAACAAAGAGTTTTGAAGACTTCTAGTGTGTGCGAGATCTACTTGTTTAAAATGCACCTGTGGCCCTAGCTGGTTTGCTCAGTGGATAGAGCATCGGCCTGCAGACTGAAGGGTCCTGGGTTTGATTCCAGTCAAGGGCACGTGCACGGAGTTGTGGGCTCAATCCCCAGTAGGGGGCGTGCAGGAGACA